CTGCCTGCTTTCTAACTGGTAAAGATGAGACACATACAAAACACAACCATGGGTTACAACTCCAGTTAAGCACTAACACAGTTTAATACTCAGGGATTCAAACTCTGACTCTTAGTGGCTAATCACTCAATGCTGTGATCCTTTAATGGACAAATTCAACTGTTTCAGTTCTTAGGAGACTTGAATCTTGATGCAGATAAGGAGAATTTGCAGATACTTATCAGAACCAAGCTGACACAGCATTTCCACCTATCCCTATTCTAAGCCAGGAAGTCTCTAAAGCAACATCTCCTGACAGGTTTTCAAAATGTCTTCAGTCTCTTCTGTTGTGTCTTTTCCACTCAGAGTGGAGACTTTTCATGCATGCCGTGGAACACATGAAGGTGCGTTCTACTGAGTCGGACCTTGGTCCATCTAGCCAAGTGATGTCCAAAGTGATCTGGCAACAGCTTTCCAGGGTTTCAGCAGTAGTTTTCCTAAACTACCTAGAGATGCCAGGGACCAAACCTGAGATCATCTGATGAAGGTTCGTCATGGATAGATTTATACCACATGTCATCTCTTACATGTATTGACCCATGGATGGGCACAAAGGAGGCCCATCCCAAATGAACCAAGAGACTGAAGGGCAGACAAGCCAAGACCTCCAAAAACTGTTGGATTAGTCAGTTAATTGAGCTATTTCAGGAAAAAAATCTATATCAAGAGCCAGTTTTTAATGCAGTGGTTCAACAGTCCACATAGAATATTTCAGATCCTTGAATAAGTTTAATAGAAACCCAGGGCATCCCCTGTTGAGGCAAAAGATTTTTCCCCTAATATTTTGAGGATATTTCTCAACATGAGGTTTATAACTGCCAGTGCATTCCTTGGTGGGTTGCAAACTGAGGGGTGGGCTTCACTTTTGCCAGGCGGATGACACACAGTCCTGTTAATGTGGCTTCCTGGTTTCTTCCCTATGCTTAAATGCTACTCAAGCACATTTAAAACAGAAAAATACACAAAACACAAACATGCTCATTTAGTATGAGATGTTCTGGCACTTCTGTAATAAAAGGAGAAAGTGGACTTCCAAAGGTAAATTTGCAGGTGGGTCTCAAAATGTTAAGTTAGTGAGTGGTCCCACTTCAAAATACGTAAAGAAGCATGGTTATAAGAAATAGAATTAAAGTATTAAAAAGTAGAGCTGCAATAACATTTCTCAGAAACATTGTTGTCAGAAAGTGACTTTTCTCACTTCCCAGAGAAAAGGTCACTTTGTATGTCTTTCATGGAATATTCTCCGATAATATTTGTCTTGCAATGCCCAGGAACAATAGTAAGTTCCTTGTGGAGGATGCAAAATGGTGGCTGGCCACAGTTGCTGCTGCCACCTTGAGCATCGTGAAGAAGTTGCACTACCATCACTGAAAAGGGGCTCATGGGAAGTGACACTCCTCAAGATGCTGCTGGGGAATTTCTATTCCCACTGCAGCATGTGGTGAAATTGTTCCCCTACTTTCTCTGCCCAAAAATAGAATGGAGAATGTTGAGAAACCATTTGCACACCCTTCTGTCTAGCGTTAGAAGAAAGCTAGGAACTGTGACATTTCTAAAAATTACGTCTTAGGCTGTTCTTAGAAGTTTTAAAACCCTCCGAAGCCACAGTGCAAAGCTTCCTCGAGGGACACGCATCACACATTCACAACTGATTTCTGTAAAATGATGAAGTCAAATATAGCACCAAGTAAAAGTTTAAAGGAGATGTAATTTGAAAAATATATTACCACTTGTAGAAAAGTTTTTACAAAGCACACCAAACTCAGCTCTCTGTGGAAGGCTGCAGGTGACAGCCCTTTTAAGTAATACACCAAGATGAACTTTTGTCCTAAGAAAAAATCACCAATGACTTCAGTGAGTAAAATGTCTGCCTCTTACATATATATACAGTATATATTCATTCCTGTGGACTGTCTCCAATGTACAGAAATGTATTCCGTATGTACGATTGCTGTAGGCATGGGACTGCACTGGATCGACTGTTGGGTTTTGGAGCATTCCGGCCTCACATTTAGGAATGAAGGAATTTGTCTCATTTTTATAGAGCTCACTCTTTTCAAGCACACTCTCCATGATTTTTAGGAGATCTAACCTGGCCATTCATTGCCACCTGACCTCAGGTATGGGAATTTCATTACCACATTTGTTTTGAAGGGGGAAAAAAATGAGAGAATTGGTCTTTGGGAACAAGTTGGCACTACTGTGGAGAGGGAAGAAAAGGGGGGAAAGAATGTAGCCGATCTGGTCCCAATGGGGCTGCTTCATACCAAAGTGTCAGGTTCAGTAATAAAATGCTGTTTTCCAACTCTGTTCTGAAATGAATCAATGAGTTATCACAAATGTCTAGGCAAGCTGCCACAGTGATGCAGACCTCCAATAGTAGCAAGCTTCCTTCTGACCACCAGCCTAAATTCATTAGTAGACTCCATCAAGAGGACTTGAGGTCTTTGTCCAGTGCTATTGATTGGACTTAACAGATGCTCTGCCTGCTTTTTATCTTTATTTCATTTGAGCACCTGGTTCATATGATATGTAACCAAGTTGCACTGAGGTCAACTGCTTGGTTCTCTTCTGTTCATTCCATTGCAGCTAATGAGTACTCAGACAATGCATGCCCTTTCAGCATCTTGCGTTGTGAGAAATGAGCATAATCCATTCAGAAGTGTTTCAAATGCTCTGATGAAGTGCAATGTAAAGTGTTGCATTGTTGTGTACACTTATCCCTTACTTGCTGGTGGGACCATGTAGTAGAAGACAATTTATAACCTATATTTTAAATCAGGTCTTGAATGTTTGAGTTCATTTTCTAATTTACATTCTCAGTTGTATACAGATAGTCCATTGTTCACTCCAGTTAATGGATTTTATTATCCTGATGCAGCTTGCAAACTTAATGAGTCCCTGGTCTAGAACTTCAGGTAGAAATGTTAAGGTTCTCTATTTCTCTTCTGCAGTAGACTTAAATGCAAGAATTAAATTGATTGTGTAGCAGTGTTCTCAAATCCATGAACTGGATCCAAATATTTCCTTCCTCCAATGGAAATGACGTCTGAATGACGTCTGTCAGAGGGAGGAGTCCTTCTTTATAGGAACAGAACATTTGGATTAAAAAAGATTGAGGCAGGTAAAGATGCACAGAGCGTTTCCCTTTTAAACAGGCCATTCAGAGTGGGAGTGGGGGGAACAACTTGTGTCTAGTCCTTGGTCTTGAATATAATGCATTGATAACAGTATTCCATTCTTACAAAGCTCAACCTAAAATGATTTTCAGGCTTCTTAAAATTCTGGGATTCATCCCATTGCATCTAAGCAATTAAATTTTCTGTTTGCTGCATGTCTGATGAGATTGTGCTCTACTTGAATATGCTGGAGATCAGAGACATTATGTGAAAGATAATGAAATACACAATTTTTCAAGGGAAAGGTAGATGTTATGGCAGACATTTATGAATTTATTATAAATTCATGGTAACTGTCCTCCTAGAAGTTTAAGCCATTGTGAATCAACTTTACTCCCCCTTTATCTTCTCAACAACCCTTTGGGGTAGGTTGTGCTAAGAGTTACTGACTGGCCCAAAGCGACCAGCAAGCTGCATGGCTAAACGAGGAATTTGAAAGTGGGTCATTCTAATCCTAGTCTGATAATCTACCCACTATTGTATCATTATCTGTAAAACTGCATGTTCTGAGGAGAAGGTGAGGAATGTGATGCTGGTACGCTGTTTTTCAGAAACAGCCCTCTTTCTGCTGTAGTTTGACCCACTGTGGGATTTCCTCTCACAAGATCTCATTTCTATTGTTCTTAATGCTCACATCTCCCAGACAGGGCCCTCGACCTGCAGTTCACAAGTCATGCGGGCTCTCTGAAATGGATATATTAACTTTGCAAAATATGCCTCCTTTGTACTGTGTGTTTTCCATGCCCTTTGCTTGCTCGGCCACAAGGTTTGCACCTTTCCCCTCATGTTGTGGAGAGTGATTCCAGCAGCTGAAAACAGCAACTTGAGCCATTTATAGCCTTAAGCACTGGCGGGATCTTGGAAGAAACACCAACATTCTCATGATCACAATATTTAAGTGCAAATGTAGGGTTTCCTTAGCCAAATGAGCATCAGTCAGACAGGGCTTATTTTAAAAGGCAAGGCACATGGTAAGGAGTGCCCAGGATCAGTTTGGATTACAGCATCACAAGGTAGGAAATGATGTCCAAATTAACTTTGTACATGTGCATGAAGTGGGGTAGAGTTTCACTGATATACTTCATGGTAAATCTGAGAGCCTTTTTCCTGCACATGCCTGGCCCAGTACAGCAATGATCAGCTCCATGGAAGAAGGGATCAGAGAGACTAAATCCAGGTATATTGCCCCACCCACCATTCCTCCCAAGTGGATGATTGTTACTATTGCTGGTTTTCCAGTGGAGATCCCATGTGGATTCACAGCCAGATTGCACATGCTGCTTCTGTTAGCGTGTGATATTCTACATCTACCTGGAAATGTTCCGAAGGAAGCCCATTTTCACCTGAATATGTCTCCTAGCTAGACTGGCTCATCTCTTCCTTGCTTAATACTGAAAAGAACTGGCAAACTGTTGAAAAATAATTTCTAGAGAAAATGACTACACCACTTTCCATATTTAATAAGCCATCTTCTCTCCCTCTCTCTCATTCTCTGTCTCTTAGAAAACAAGTTTTAAAAAGTAAGTGCCATTGGACAGTTGAAAACTTCTACTTTTGCTCCAAGTTAAACCACAGAGACATTTTGGTAGGCTTGTTAAGAGTCCAATCCTGTAGATCAGACACCCATGGAAAGAGATCCCTGATCTGGGAGTCCTCCATGCATCCCAAGCACTGCCAGCAAGAACCCAAAAAGACAGGAGGAACCACAGAGGCTTTTATATTGCCTCCAACCTCTGAAAATTCAGTTTACATTAGATGGGCTTCTGGACCCATTTAACTCACCTTGATGGGTAAGAGAGGAGAGACCTTTGAATCCAGTAGAACTACATTTGCTCCTCTTCTGGGGTGCTGATTCTGACCTCAAGAGAGAAAGCCACTGATTACACAGCCTTTCATGGTGGCTCAGCAGACGTACATGTGGATCTCCTCCAAGGTCAGAGGTCTATCCAGCACTGGAGGAGATGGTCTGCCGTGCACTTTGGGCCCCTCAGATGCTGTCTAGGGATCATACACACTTCCATATCCCACTTAAAATTGTGAGTTTAGACTGCAGTCCTATGTGCACTTACCTGGGAGCAGGGATAGATATATCAGTCTGTCTCTAGTCTGTCGCCAGTTTGCATATTAATCTGCATTTTTTTCTTTAAATTCAGATTTGGATTTAATAACATATGCACTTCTAACATATGCACTTTGGTATGGGTTTTGAGTTACAAAGTGAACCACAAAATTCAGGGCAGTGCAAAATTCAAACAATAAGTAAGAGGCCCCAATCCTCAAATTAGACCTGGAGGTAGAGATTTGGGAGTTTACATAAGAATGCCGAAGAACTAATTCCTCAAAAATCCCAACCGTGATTTAGTCCTGTCAAGGTCATTGTATAGCACTGAACTATTAATTTGGATTTTAAAATGGATATCTATTTAGAAACTTTTGTAGTGCTATTACTATATTTAATGATGAATATACCATGATAAGAAAAATCTAACTTAAGATAAAATGGGATGAGTTCAGCGTTACATTATTTGCATCAGAAAGCATAATTGCTCAACGAGGTTCAAAATACAAACCAGATTTAGAAAAATGCTGCGTATATCAACTGCGTTAAAGCTCACTGTAATTAGTGGAATTTGTGTGCTCTGACTACAGCCCTTGCAAAATAATATTAGCTAATATAATTAGCTGCTTTGGACAGATCCTTCCTGGATATCTGCACAGTCTACAACAGCTCTAAATAATTCCATGACTTCAGCACATTTTGCCACCTGACTGCTCATTCCTAATTCCAGTTCATTTATGAGCAGGCTGGAAAGCATTGGTCTTGGTATAGATTTTCATGTGACTCCACACTGGGAGAATCTAGCATTTATTCATGCTCTCTGTTTACTGTTCTTAAACAGTTCTGGAACCATAAGGGGGCTTTTTCTTTTATCTCATGGCAGCTAGGTTTTATTCAAGAGTCTTTGCTCAGGAGACTTTGTTAAAAAAATTCTTTGGAAGTTCAAGTGAAGAAGGGCTACTGGATCAGTCTTATCCACATGTTCATTGACACGTCAAATAACTAAACAGTTAGTGAGACAGGACTTAGTCTTGTAGAAGCCATGTTTATTCTTTTTCAGAAGGGTTGGCCTTTTATATGCTTCCTTTAATCATGCTTTACTCCAGTTTACGTGAAGCAGAAATTAAGCTAACTGGCCTGTAATATCCCAAATCCCCCTGGAAAATAGATATATCATGGCACAAAACTGGGCACTCTCTAGTCCCCTGGAACAGAGATTGATCTTTGGTATGATACATAGTTTTGTTAGAAGAGCAGCAATTCTGCATTTGTGTTCTTGAACTCTGGAATGGATCCCATGCGGGCCTAGTGATTTTTATCCTTCCACTTATCAATAAGGTCAAGAACCTCATCTTTTACCACCACTATTTGCCTCAATTCCTCAGACTCCCTTCCTGAAAATATCCATTCAGGTGCAACCATCTGTCCTATATCGTCTGAAGTGAGGGCAGATGAAATTAATGCATCTTCTGAAGGAAGCCTTCGTTTCTCTAATGGCTTCCTTGACACTGCTCATTAACCATGGTGGTGACCTCTTGGACTTGGTGCTACTTCGCCTGACCTGTGGGGTCCATTCTAACTGAGCTTCTATTATTGTAGTTTTAAGCAAGCTGCAGGCATTTTGAAGATGTTTAACCCTCTTGACTCCCCCTTCTGACATGCTTTTTACCTGTTACCTCATCTTAGAAAATAATTCTGTTTTGAAATCAAATGTGACTGTGTTGCATTTTCTTGGATCTCTTTGGTTCAAGATACATTAAATCAAATAGCACTGTGGCTAGTCCAGAAGGTACAGATCTGTGAGTTCCCTGGTTCTCTCTGCTCTGCCTGGCTTCCATTATGGCTGCTGTATCAAATTAAGCCAAGCCCTCCAACTCCCTCATCTTGTCTTGGGGGCTTCTAACATGAGCACAGAAACACCTCTAGGCAGTGTCCCTCCACAGATGTGCTGTGGGCCTTAGGCATCTGACAGCAAGAAAGAAATTAGGCTTAATACAGGTACTAAGTATCACCACTACCTCCTCATTTCTATACTACTCATAGCTGAAGCTGTCTGGGCATTTTACAACAATAATCACAGACTCATACACTCAAGTCATCCATCCCAATTCTAACCAGGCCTGACCCTACTTAGCTTCCAAGATGAGACAGGATCAGGCACTTCAGGCTGTTCAGAAGCTATATTAACTGTATCCATATCATCTAACCACCCCTTGACTGCAGATTTCCGCTGTGCATGGAGGGCAGTTTGCAACTGATGCACGGGTACACACATTTCTGTCTCTTGTAGCAAGATACCTCATGCATGGAGAAAGCCCTGGGCTTACTCCCCAGCATCTCCAGTTACAAGAAGCAGCCATATCTCTTCCTGCCAAGGATCCTGGAGGCTACTACCAGGTGGTGTAGGTCGAGATGGCTCGCCTTGTTTCCTCCAAAGGCCACATGGAGCAGGTCAGAAGCTGCATACACCCGTCGCTGGGAAGCTTGGCAGGAGGAGGTCTTGCTCCCGTCCTGCTTGAGGGGGGTTGAGGGCACCTGGTTTGCCACCGTGTGCACCGAGTGCTTCGATCTGATCCAGCATGCCTTGTCTTGTGTTCTCATTTGTTTGGGTCTCCATAGATACAGTGGCTTCCAGTCTAACTGGAGGTATTAACTTACACAGATTGCAGTGAGGATTGCATTTTTATCAATTATGATAATTGTAATTATTCTCACCAATTCAGTTTTCCATATAGCCTGAAGTGGCTGATCCTGCCTAATATTGGAAGCTAAGCAGGGCTGGGCCTGGTCAAAAACTGTGTGGGTGACTTAAATGTGAACTGCTCAGAGAGCTTTGGCTCCAGGCAGTATAGAAATGTAATGCAGTCGTCGTCGTCGTCGTCGTCGTCGACATCATCTGCCATTGTGAACCATCACTATATTGCATTCATTCAAGCGCTATTGAATGTTCGCATTTCAGGGCCATCTAGCCAGCATTCGGTCCTCTCAACCACCCCCACCAGTATGCCCCACTGAAGATAAAAAGCCAAGCATCCGATGAAGCAGCCTACGGTCCATGAATACTTCTGCCAGAACAAGTACATTATCCCTAAAGGTGCTACCAGGTGCTCTGTGGTCTTGCTGCAACAGACAAATGCCTCCCCCTTTGAAAGTTGCTAATGCCCCTCACTCTTGGGAACCAGGCCACTTCCTATTAACAAATGAAGCATGGCAACCAAGCATATCCAGTTTTATAAGGTTATTTGGCTTGGGCAATAACAACCTGCTATGTATTTGGAAGGAAGAGATTTCTCATTTCTCTTTTCTTGCACAAAATACATTTCGGTCAAACTCAACTCCTTTTCTGGGTTCTGATTTCAAAGTTCTGATTTCAAAGCTCTGGGCAGCCCAGAGCTGGGCGACCTAACAGAATACCTATTCCAATATTTGCCCTCCTGGACCCCAAGGTTACTGTCTGAGGCCCTCCCCTCATGCGGCAAACTGCATGGCTGGAAGACCGAAGGCGTTTTTATTGGTGGAGCCATGCCTGTGGAATGTCCTCTCTGAAAAGGATCGTCTGGTGCCCATGCTGTACTTGTTTCAGCACTACCTGAAAACCTTTCTATTTTCCCATGCATCTCACAAATCCATTTTAGTGCTTTTAGATCTTTGCATTGTTATTTATCCTGTACTGTTGAGTTCACTCCACGTCACCTTATTTTGTTGACTGCATTATTTTTATCTTGTATTTTATTATTTAAATTTATTCCTATTCTACCTAGAGTAAGGGAGTTTGGGGGCACTTTAAAATTTAATAGTAAAATAAACACTCTCAGGGTAACATCCTATGCCTTCCCATAAAAAAATAAATGATTGTCCTGAAAAAATTTGTTAACTTAATTCCCATTTTTACAGCCTGAACTATACCCTTCCCTCTCAGAGGTGGGAAACATGAGTGAAGTTAGATAGTAGAATGGGATGGAAGAGAATTTGTTTTGATTTGCAGTTGGATAAAAATTCTGTATGTCTCAAATCAATATGCAAAATGCAATGGCTACCCTTCAGTATTTGCTCTTCTCAGAGTTCTACATTGAGTTCTACAAAGGGAAAAAGCATAAAAAATGTGTATACTAGAGAACAGTGTGCACTTGTGCCTATTAGTGGAGAAAGATCCCAAAAAGAGAAAAGCATTTGCAAACAATATGTATATTAGGCAAAATTGCCAACAAGATGCATGCCTTAAGGAGAAACTTTTGTGAGGACCGAAAGAATGAAGATGCAAACTGAGGACTGGAAACTGAAAGAAACGGAAATTGTCTCCAATTTTTGTACATGACCATTGTTGTACTGTTGTGTATATGTTAACTGGAGTTACCCTTTCATACATTCAGCTGAACACATGGACATCACAGTGTGGTCAGAATTTCAACAATACCCAGATTTCTCATCCAGCAATTGAAAAGTTCCTCAGAACCTTCTTAAAATTATCTGAACTTTTAATTGGAAACAGAAAAACTGATATTTTGTCCCTATGGGAAGCATATTTGCAAAAAGCAACAGTAAAAAGTCAGGTCGAATGGCCTGTGGAAAAACCTAATTTAGAAAAAAGGTCATTGTGTGTTCTTTTCTTTTCTTTTCTTTTTAAATACTGTCGCCATTACAGTAAATAACTTGGAATAACTGAAATAATTTAATCATGGCAAGGTCCCTTTCCTGGCAGTCTACTGACATTTAACGGTAAGTAGGAAAAAATAAAAAATAAAACTTCAAGATTCCTAATTAAACTGAAAACCAGTGAATATGCATCATTGCCAGT